CAGGTGTAAATTTTCTTTGTAAAAAAAAATGAAAGAGTTGGGGTAAAAAGTGTGAATCTTGTCATAAATCTTCCAAGGGTGAATTCTCTATGCAATTAGCTAGAATAGAATTAGCAGTCAGCAGGGCTGAAGAGCCCCGGTTTTAAAAGCTTGCAGGGGTGTTGGGTGGCACCATTAGAAGCCTTGAGTTAGGGATTTACAGAGAAACGAAGGTTGAATTTACAGTTTCAGGTTTCGACAACTGGATGAAGGTGCTCACACTTCTTTAATTCTGCAAACTATGTAAAACAGTTGCTTGGGAGGTCAACCAGGGGTGTCAAACTCACTGGAAAGCTGTTATTTAAAGTTTAAAAAATATTTAATTGTGTTTGTCTGTGTCCTTTACAAAGTTTATATGTCCACTACTTGGCATTACCTTTTATGACACACGTGGCCCGGCCCAACAAGGCCTCATTTATGTCAGATCCGGCCCTCATAACAATTGAGCTCAACACCCCTGGATACAGAACAGGGCTGTAGTCTAAATTTTTTTTTTTGTAATGACCTACTGCACCGGTTTGTTTTGGAGAATAAATAAGACAGAAACCATGGGCACTGTGATCAATTAATAAATACATCATAACAGCAAGACCAGTATAATGGAAAATGTTTTTTGAAGTCTTCAGTATAATTCTACACAGTGAAATAAAAATATGAATGAGTGAAAATATCCAGGTTTCCCTGCTGTAGTCTATGCCACGTGTACACTATGTATGATTGATTTGTCATATGCTCTATCATGCTCTTATGGAGCTGTGGTGGCTCAAGTGGTTAAGATGCTGACAGGCTGTGGAAGGTCAGTAGTTCAGCAGTTCGAGACCCAAGTGTGACACATGACAGAGTAAGCTCCTGTCTCTAGTTCCAGCTCCTGCCAACCTAGCAGTTCGAAAGCAAGAAATTGCAAGTAGATAAATAGGTACCACTTCGGTGGGAAGGGAACAGTGTTCCGTGCGCCTTGGTGTTTAGTCATGCCGGCCACATGACCACGGAAACGTCTTCGGACAGCGCTGGCTCTTTGGCTTTGAAACGGAGATGAGAACCGCAACCCTAGAGTCGGATTCGACTGGCTTTCGAGCAAGGGAACCCTTACCTTTACTTTACTATCATGCTCTTACAGAGTTGTTTTCGTTTTTTGTAATTCCATTGTCTGCATTGCTTGACATTGCATGTTTGATACTTGTCTTGCATTTTTGCAATCTTTGTACACCTAGTCCTATTGCACTTTTATTAGCTCTTTCATGAAGTTTGATTACCATGTTCTATGCCATGTAATCCACTTGGAGTCTCCAATAAAAAAATGGGTAAAAAGCTAATAAAGTATAAACAATAAATAAATAATGATGGGCTGACCACCACTGTACTCATCCCCACCCTGCATAAAAATTTTCTGGCTATGGGCGTGGTCCTTCCCATTTGCTACTCCAGACTCCCTGGGAGAGGAAAGCCGCCAGCAATTTCAGGCCTCTTTTGCATGGAAGAGGTAAACCTCTAAAGCTGATTCCGCACTGTCATTTATTTTCCCCTATTGCTTTGGGTTTCCCCCCCTTTTCCACTGTTTTGCTCCATCTGCGACTACTAGAGAAAGCAAAATACAGGGGGGGGGGTCATTTCGTAGAAAAAGAGGCGCAGGAGCTCATTAGTATAACCCATTAGCATAACTCAATTGCATATGCCACGCCCCCTGGCATCGCTCTAAGTGTGCATAGCCAGTTTGGTGTAGTGGTTAAGTGTGTGGACTCTAATCTGGGAGAACCGGGTTTGATTCCCCACTCCTCCACTTGCAGCTGCTGGATCACCTTGGGCAAGCCGTAGTTCTGATAACAGCTGTCCTTGGAAAAGGGCAGTTTCTGTCAAGAGCTCTCTCAGCCCCACCTACCTCACAGCGTGCCTGTTGTGGGGAGGGGAAGGGAAAGGAGTTTGTGAGCAGCTCTGAGACTCCGAGTGAAGGGCAGGGTATAAATGCAATCTTCTCTTCTCTTCTCCCTTCTAGGTGTTTTCTCCTTGAATGGGAAGCCTCTCTTTGTCTTCACCTGGGAGCTGCCCTCAGGCTCTGACCTACCTCAGGTCAGATTTTCAGGTGGGGAGCCATGCTGGTCTGAAGCAGTAGAACACAGGGTAATTTTGCACTGGCCTTTTCCTCTGTTATTTTACGAAACCCACGTTGGAACAGAAATTCCCCTCTGCATTGCTTGCCGCTTTCACTTCCTTTGAGCATTGGGTTTTATGGTACCTTCTGCATAGATTTATGCCCATTTTATGGCCATTCCAGGGTGATTTTGCCTGGATTGGCCACACCTTTAAAAGGATTAAAAGCTTTGCGAAAAGTGCAAAAAAGGGCAACTAGGGTCCCAGTCACACGAGCGGAATACTGCGCCACTGAAGGGAGGCAAATTAGAGCCGGGGCAAAAAGAACCACGGTAGCACGATCCGACGCGCCCCCGTGCTCCGGCCTTCGGCAGGCGATCAAACGTAGCAAGGCAAAACGGACTTTGCACGTTTGTGCGCATGTGTGGGACAGAGAACGGCACTGGATGTGACGGGCTACCAGTGCTTCCCCGATCAGACGCCTGGAGTTGCCGCACGTCATCCGGAAGGTAGTGCTCTGTTGCCGGTACCTTTTGAATGTGCGTTTTTGGTCCGAAGGGACGGATCGGGGACGGGTGTGTGACGCTTCCCAGATGTTGTGGTATGATTGCGCCCGTTTGATGCACCCTCAACCTATCCATTTCATGGGGCAAATCCTGCCGTGTGACCGGGGCCTTGAATGATAAAAGGGTTGGAACACTTTCCCTGTGGAGAAAGGTTAAAGAGCTTGGGGGTCGTTAGCTTGGAGAAACGAAGGCTGAGGGGTGACATGATTGAGGTTTATAAGATTATGCATGGGAGAGAGCAGGTAGAGAAAGAAGTACTTTTCTCCCTTTCTCACAGTACAAGAACTCGTGGGCACTCCATGAAATTGCTGAGCGGTCGGGTTAGAACAGATAAAAGGAAGTCCTTCTTCACCCAAAGAGTGATTAACACTTGGAATTCTCTGCCACAGGAGGTGGTGGCAGCTACAAGCATGGACGGCTTCAAGAGAGAATTGGATAAGCATATGGAGCAGAGGTCCATCGGTGGCTATTAGCCACAAGGTATAGATAGGAACTCTCGGTCTAGGGCAAGTGATGCTCTGTATTCTTGGTGCTTGGGCGGGGGGGGGGGGGGCGGGCGCCA